TAATTTTTCACCAATTGTAAATCTGAAATCGCCGTCACGAGATCTGTTCCAATAAGCACGAAAAGTGAGATCAAAATTTCCAAAAAATGGTTAAAGTTGGTTCAATAGACCGAAAATTGGTGTCAAATTGTAGAAAATCTTGCGCTAGTTACAATTCTGAAATCGTCGTCACTGTATCTGTTCCAATAAATATGAAAAGTGAAATCAAAATTTTCAAAAATTTTCCAAAAAAATGGTTAAAATTGGTTCAATTTACTGAAAATTTGTGTCAAATTGTAGGTAATTTTCCACCAATTATAAATCTGAAATAGCCGTGAAAATATCTGTTCCAATAACCACGAAAAGCGAATTCAAAATTTTCAAAAATTTTCCAAAAAAATAGTTCATATTGGTTCAATTGACGAAAAGTTAGTGTCAAATTGTGGATAATTTTCCACCAATTATGAATCTGAAATCGCCGTCACGATATCCGCTTTCAATAATCACGAAAAGTGAATTCAAAATTTTGAAAAAATTTCAAAAAAAATTATCAAAATTGCTACAATGGACCGAAAATTGGTGTCAAATTGTAGATAATCTTCCCCTGGTTATAAATCTGAAATCTCCGTCACAATACCTGTTCTAATAAATGCGGAAAGTGAATTCAAAATTTTCAAAAATTTTCAAAAAAAGGTGGTTAAAATTGGTTTAATCGACCGAAAACCGGTGTCAAATTGTTGACCACCTTCCGCTAGTTACAAATATGAAATCGCCGTTACGATATCTGTTCCAATAAACACGAAAAGTTAATTTAAAATTTTCAAAAAATTTCCAAAAAATTATTAAAATTGGTTCTATCGACGGAAAACTATTGTCAAATTGTGGATAATCTTCTGTTAGTTACTAATCTGAAATTGTCGTCACGATATCTGTTCCAGTTAACATGAAAATTGAATTCAAAATTTTAAAAAATTTTCCAAAAAAATTGTTCAAATAGGTTCAATCGACGGAAAATTGCTGTCAAATTGTAGATAATCTTCCCCTGGTTACAAATCTGAAATCGTCGTCACGATATCTGTTTCAATAAACACGAAAAAAGAATTCAAAATTTTCAAAAAATTTCCAAAAAAATGGTTAAAATTGGTTTAATCGACCGAAAATTGGTGTCAAATTGTTGACAATTATCCGCTAGTTACAAATCTGAAATCGCCGTCACGATTTCAGTTTTAATAAACATGACAAGTGAACATAAAATTTTCAAAAAATTTTCAAAAAAAAACGGTTAAAATTGGTTCAATACACCGAAAATTGGTTTCAAATTGTGGATAATCTTCCGCTAGTTACGAATCTAAAATCACCCTCACAATATCTGTTCCAAAAGTCACAAAAATTGAGATTAAATTTTTAAAAATTTTCCAAGAAAATGGTTAAAATTCGTTCAATCCACTGAAAATTTGTGTAAAATTGTAGGTAATTTTCCACCAATTATAAATCTGAAATCGCCGTCACAATATCTGTTCGAATAAGCACGAAAAGTGAATTCAAAATTTTCAAAAATTTTCCAAAAAAATAGTTCAAATTGGTTCAATTGACGGAAAATTAGTGTCAAATTGTGGATAATTTTCCACCAATTATGAATCTGAAATCGCCATCACGATATCTGCTTCCAATAAGCACGAAAAGTGAATTCAAAATTTTGAAAAAATTTCCAAAAAAATGATTAAAATTGCTACAATGGATCGAAAACTGGTGTCAAATTGTTGACCACCTTCCGCTAGTTACAAATATGAAATCGCCGTTACGATATCTGTTCCAATAAACACGAAAATTGAATTTAAAATTTTCAAAAAATTTCCAAAAAAATTTTTAAAATTGGTAAAATGGACCGAAAATTCTTGTCAAATTGTTAACAGTCTTCCGATAGTTACAAATCTGACAACGCCGTTACGATATTTGTTCTAATAAACACGAATAAACGTGAACTCACGAATTCAAAATTTTCCAAAATTTTCCAAAAAAAATGGTTAAAATTGGTCCAATCGACGGAAAATTGTTGTAAATTTATAGATAATCTTCCCCCGGTTTCAAATATGAAATTGCCGTCACGATATCTGTTCCAATAAACACAAAAAGTGAATTCAAAATTTTCAAAAATTTTTCAAAAAATGATTAAAATCGAAGCAATGGACCCAAAATTGGTGTCAAATTGTGGATAATCTGGCGCTAGTTACAATTCTGAAATCGCCGTCACGATTTCGGTTGTAATAAACACAAGTGAACTCACGATTTTCAAAAAAATTCCAAAAAAACGGTTAAAATTGGTTCAATACATCGAAAATTGTTGTCAAATTGTGGATAACCTTCCGCTAGTTACTGATCTTAAATCAGCGTCACAATATCTGTTCCAATAATCACGAAAATTGAGATCTAAATTTTCAAAAATTTTCCAAAAAAGTGGTTAAAATTGGTTCAATCGACTGAAAGTTTGTGTCAAATCGTAGATAATCAACCGCTATTTACAAACTTTAAATCCCCGTCACGATATCTGTTGCGATAAACAGGAACATTGAAAAAAATTTTTCAAAAATTTTCCAAAAAAATGGTTAAAATTGGTTCAATCGACCGAAAATTGGTGTCAAATTGATGATAATTTTCGGCTAGTCACAAATCTGAAATCGCCGTCACGCTATCTGTTCCAATAAACACGAAAACTGAATTCAAAATTTTCCAAAAATTTCCAAAAAATTGTTAACATTGGTTCAAACGACCGAAAATTGGTGTTAAATCATAGATAATTTTCCACCAATTATAAATCTGCAATCGCCATCACGATATCTGTTCCAATAGACACGAAAGGTGAATTCAAAATTTTCAAAAAATTTCCAAAAAAATGATTAAAATTGGTGCAATGGACCGACAATTGGTGTCAATTTGTAGATAATTTTCCACCAATTATATATCTGAAATCGCCGTCACGAAATCTATTCCAATAAGCACAAAAAGTAAATTCAAAATTTCCAAAAATTAAAAAAACAAAATGGTTAAAATTTGTTCAATCCATTGAAAATTGGTGTCAAATTTTAGATAATTCTCCACTTGTCACAAATCTGAAATCGCCGTCACGATATCTGTTCCAATAAACACGAAATGTGGATTCAAAATTTTCGAAAATTTTCCAAAAAAAGGTGTAAAAAACGGTTCTAAACACGATAAGTGAATTCAAAATTTTCAAAAAATTTCCAAAAAATGGTTAAAGTGGGTTCAATCGACTGAGAATTAGTGTCGAATTGTGGATAGTCTTCCCCTAAGAATAAATTATAATTTGAAGTTTGCAGTTAATTCGAACTTTCAACTTAATAATTTTGTTATTTAAAAACTGTAACCGTTCTGAAACATTTTAATCTGTCAACATCAACTCACAAATTCTCACTTATTAACGTGAAATTTCGACTTAGTAATTCAAAACTTCCTTTATTATTTTCAGTCGTGATTTCCATCTTGATTTCAGAATGCAAATTTACGAACTCACAATAAGTTGAATTTTGACAGGGAATTCTCTTTAACCGGAAAACACTCAATACTATAAAATTGCGTTTTTAGAACTTGCTCAACTTTGACATTTGCTGCCACTTTTTCTTCCTACAGAGTAAATTCAAAGACATCAAAACAAAACAACAAATATCTCATTCAAAGCACCTCCGATTTTAATCTCACCTTTCCAACCTGAAAACCACGAAATAAAACTTTACAAAATTCGCACTCTTAGTTTCGAGGTGTGTTTGCATATATTTAAAATGCCATAAACGTATTGTTGTCTAGCCGATGTTTTCACTCGTTCAGACATATGGTAACACTCCGAAATTAATTTAAACCGACAGCCGATGTTAATTATGATTAATAATTTCAGCAGGAAAAAATCAAAAGCCGAAATCCAAAAGAGAAAGTTGTTGCCATTAGCGAAGAGCAGCTGCTATTTTTCGGTTTTATTACCCACCTTTGAATTTTATCGAAATACAGGCGATTATCAAAGTTAAATTTAAGCAGTGACTGCGAGTGTTAACGCCTGAAACGATAAACAAAATGAACAAGAAAGTATTCCAAAGACGCTGGAATTTCCGGGCACATAACAAGCTAATTTCTTTTTGATCTAAATACAGCGCTATGCTTTCATCCATCTTCTACTAGAGTTTTATAGCGGTGGAATAAAAATATGAGCAATAAATTAAAAACGTACTAATTGCCTAGTAAATTTTTTACAATGTTGTTTATAATTTAGATTAACCGTGTTGGATATTAATAGGTCGGTCGAAGAACTTTTAGGTCGGATTTTTAAAAACCGAATAATGAGGATTATGGCTAATCCATAACGGCTATTTTAAGCACTTCGCGTAAATTATTGCGGTTTATCTCGGGTTGTTCTGGTGTTTGCTTGCGGTTTATGCGGTTCCGAAAAACACACACAGGTGTCACAGTTTCCGATTTTTTTCTTTAGTTGTTACAAAAATTTCGAAATTTGAAGTCGTGTTGTTAATTAGATTCGTCTGCATTTAATTAAATCATTGTTTATCCCTTGTGCCGGCGCTCGTTAAATCGGGATTTGTATCCCAATCAGCTAAAGGCATCGTCTTAGCTCAATAAACCCGAATCAATCATTTCGGCTTTGAAAGCTCCAACTAATTAAAAAATCTCTTCAAATTTTTTCCGCCTCCTTAGAACAAATACCCGTTTCTTCGACTGACTCAATCCATTTCGAATTAAACATAATACGACTTTCACTTTTCCGAGATTTATCACGCACGATCCGCGGTGTAAATATTTGAGCGTTTTCAAAACCAAACAGATTAATAAGCCGAAAATTTTATAATGAGAGTGGCTCGCTTGTCACTCTCTACCAGGTGATGGGAGTCTAAATACCATCAAATCGAAGAAAGTACCATCCGACAGAACTGGAACGGCGTGTTTAATAATAACAAATTCGTCGTTGTGGCATTTTGCGATGTGCGAAGAAAGTGCAGACCTACCTTTGTTTTGTATAAAAAATTGCGGTGATGTTTTTTAGCGAAACTTGAACTTAGTGCGTCCACGTGGCGGAAGTCTTCTACAAAAACGCGTCAACGACCGACGAAGGATTGGAACATACTGGCGCTAAAAGGCGCTCGCCGTCGTTTCGCGGCGCTGATAATAGAAAAAAATTCGTTGGAGTGCGCACAACTTTCTAAAGAGTTGATTCTGTGACTAAAATCGGTGGCGTCGTTTTGTTTTTTGATTTATTTTGCGTTAGTTTGTTTTTAATGCGGTTTCTCGATTACATTTTATTTGATATTTGTGGAAGCTGAATGAGTTGAATATTATTTATTTTTATTATGGGTTTGTTATTACGTGCGTTGGGTTTATTTACTTTCGACTTGTTTGTTTAATGTGTAGTTACATCATGTATTTTTAAACACAAACATTAAATTTAATAACGTGGCGCAAAAAATTCGTGTTTCCATTTTCCCAGTCGGGCTGGATTTTCGTGGTCAGCAAACACTATTAAATAACTTATTGTTGGACTTTGGAGACAAGTGTGTGGGTCAATAGTGCCACAACCCATTTAAACTTTTTAAATTCACGCATAAATTTTTGCTAAAACTTCTAACAAAGTTTAAGTTGTTTCATTTGTTTGATTTACAATTTATGTATTTATTTGAGAAGTAGATCGTTTTTATAATTTTTGATTTTTCGCTAAGATGATGGTATTTTCGAAGTGATTTACCAGAATATGTCAATTTTGATATATACAGTTGGCCGAAAATAACAATACTGTAATCCTAAAATTTCGGAAAATTTATAATTTAATCCATAAAATGATTTATTCTATTCGTTAATTCATTGATACTACGTAAACACTTCTAAAAAAATTGGTTGAAAGTTGTTTCCACAGAACTTCCCTCGCCCCTGAAGTACAATGAGTTGAGTTTTTATTTTACATAATTACTGTTTGCTTATAAAAGATTCTGTAGGAAAATGTTAAATTTAGCCCCGTTCCTTCATTTTTCTTTTTCAGAAATAAGAAATAAATGTTGTAGCAAAGTGAAAATACGCAATTGCAAATTGAAGAATGAGGAAACGAAACACCGAAACAGTGACTAATAATCGAAAAAACTAAAAATCTAAGAAATGATTCGAACAATTGGAAAGAAGAAAAAACGAATTTAATCGAAAAATTGGAAACCCCAAAAATTCTAAAACCGTAAAATTGAAAAAGTGAATACATAATTTTAAAAATTATAATTGTTATGATACAATTTAAAATGAAAACTGGAAAAATTGCAACATTGACACACTAAAAATGTAGAAACTTAAAAATCGAAAAAATAGAAAACCCAAAAATTGTAAAATCGAAAAATTATAGAATCGTCAACTTTTTTTGTGCAACATTTATCTCCTTCGGAAATTTTGTTCTGTTAGTCATAAATCTATAAATTATTACATATTACTGACATACCAAAAAATCGAAAATCTTAAAAATTCAGAAATCTAAAATTTAAAAATTGGAAAATCTGAAAATTGAAGAATAGAAAAACTGAAAAGTTAAGAATTTGAAAAATTCCAAAACTGAGATGACGAAAAATTGGTAAATTGAAAAATCGAAAAATTCAAAAACTAAACCATGGAGAAATCGAAATAAGTCAAAAGCCAAAATCGTAAAACTGAAAAATCGAAAAATCTAAAACCGAAGTCGAAAAATCGAATACAAAAATTGAAAAATCCAAAATTTACGAAATTCGAAAAACTGAAATGTCGGAGAATTTAAAAATCGAAAAATTGAAAAATGAAACGATTCAATTATAGATCTTAGAATTACTTACATAGGGTGACTAAAAAAAATTAATCAATGAGGAAATTTATTCTACTGATTAAAATCAAGAATGCCTCACTCTACTTTCCCGAAAATTTGGAAATATACCAAAACAAATCTTATAAATTTTCGGAATTTTTCTGCGATTTTACAATTTGTTGATATCAGATTTTTTGGTTTTTTCATTTTCTTTAATTTTTAGTTTTCGATTCCTTAATTTTTCTTGATTTTTATTTTTTACTTTCCGAATTTTTTAATTTTGATTTCCTCGATTTTATATCACAATTTTTCGTTCTTCCATTTTCTTTATTTTTTCAATGTTTCTTTCGATTTGATGATTTTTGGTTCATTCAATTTTTCTAATTTTTAATCTTTGATTTTTCAATTCCTCGGTTTTCCGATTTTTAAATTTTTCATTTTGCAATTTTTTGATTTCTCAATTATCCAATATTTCAATAGTTGGATTTTACAATACTGAAAATTGAAAAATCGAAATAAAAGGGAATTTTTCTCGATTTTACACTTTCGATTTTTAAGTTTGTCAATTTTTAGTCTTTCGGTTTATCAGTTTTTCTTTTTTTTTTAATTTTTCAAGTTCTTGATTTAATTTTTTTACATTTTTCAAAGTTTCCATTTTATGCTTTGGACGTGTTTTTAATTTTTTTATTTTTAAAAAATTAAAAATTGCAAAACTCAAAAAGCACTGAAGAAACGAGAGATTGAAACATTGAAGAACTAAAAATCGAAAAAACTTAAAAAATGGAAACAATTAATAAATTGAAAAATTGGAAAACCCAAAAATTCTAAAACCGTAAAATTGAAAACGTGAATACATAATTTTAAAAATTATAATTGTTACGATACAATTTAAAATGAAAACTGGAAAAATTGAAACACTGACAAACTAAAAATGTAGAAACTTAAAAATCGAAAAAATAGAAAACCCAAAAATTGTAAAATCGAAAAATTATAGAATCGTCAACTTTTTTGTGTAACATTTATCTCCTTCGGAAATTTTGTTCTGTTAGTCATAAATCTATGAATTATTATTACTGACAAACCAAAAAATCGAGAATCTTAAAAATTCAGAAATCTAAAATTTAAAAATTGGAAAATCTGAAAATTGAAGAATAGAAAAACTGAAAAATTAAGAATTTGAAAAATTCCAAAACTAAGATGACGAAAAATTGGTAAATTGAAAAATCCAAAATTTACGAAATTCGAAAAACTGAAATGTCGGAGAATTTAAAAATCGAAAAATTGACAAATGAAACGATTCACTTATAGATCTTAGAATTACTTACATAGGGTGACTAAAAAAAATTAATCAATGAGGAAATTTATTCTACTGATTAAAATCAAGAATGCCTCACTTTACTTTCCCGAAAATTTGGAAATATACCAAAACAAATCTTATAAATTTTCGGAATTTTTCTGCGATTTTACAATTTGTTGATATCACATTTTTTCGTTTTTTCATTTTCTTTAATTTTTCAGTTTTCATTATTTTGGTTTCATAATTTTTCATTTTTCCAATTTCTCGGCTTCCAAATTTTCAGGTTTTCGTTTCCTTAATTTTTCTTTATTTTTATTTTTCACTTTCCGAATTTTTTAATTTTGATTTCCTCGATTTTAAATCACAATTTTTCGTTCTTTCGTTTTCTTTATTTTATCAATGTTTCTTTCGATTTGATAATTCTTTGATTTTTCAATTCCTCGGTTTTCCGATTTTTTAATTTTTCATTTTGCAATTTTTTGATTTCTCAATTATCCAATATTTCAATAGTTGGATTTTACAATACTGAAAATTGAAAATTCGAAATAAAAGGGGAATTTTTCTCGATTTTACACTTTCGATTTTTATGTTTGTCAATTTTTAGTCTTTCGGTTTATCAGTTTTTCTTTTTTTTTAATTTTTCAAGTTCTTGATTTAATTTTTGTACATTTTTCAAAGTTTCCATTTTATGCTTTGGACGTGTTTTTAATTTTTTTATTTTTAAAAAATTAAAAATTGCAAAACTCAAAAAGCACTGAAGAAACGAGAGATTGAAACATTGAAGAACTAAAAATCGAAAAAACTTAAAAAATGGAAACAATTAATAAATTGAAAAATTGGAAAACCCAAAAATTCTAAAACCGTAAAATTGAAAAAGTGAATACGTAATTTTAAAAATTATAATTGTTATGATACAATTTAAAATGAAAACTGGAAAAATTGAAACACTGACAAACTAAAAATGTAGAAACTTAAAAATCGAAAAAATAGAAAACCCAAAAATTGTAAAATCGAAAAATTATAGAATCGTCAACTTTTTTTGTGCAACATTTATCTCCTTCGGAAATTTTGTTCTGTTAGTCATAAATCTATAAATTATTACATATTACTGACATACCAAAAAATCGAAAATTTAAAAATTGGAAAATCTGAAAATTGAAGAATAGAAAAACTGAAAAATTAAGAATTTGAAAAATTCAAAAACTGAGATGACGAAAAATTGGTAAATTGAAAAATCGAAAAATTCAAAAACTAAACCATGGAGAAATCGAAATAAGTCAAAAGCCAAAATCGTAAAACTGAAAAATCGAAAAGTCGAAAAATCGAATACAAAAATTGAAAAATCCAAAATTTACGAAATTCGAAAAACTGAAATGTCGGAGAATTTAAAAATCGAAAAATTGAAAAATGAAACGATTCAATTATAGATCTTAGAATTACTTACATAGGGTGACTAAAAAAAATTAATCAATGAGGAAATTTATTCTACTGATTAAAATCAAGAATGACTCACTCTATTTTCCCGAAAATTTGGAAATATACAAAAACAAATCTTATAAATTTTCGGAATTTTTCTGCGATTTTACAATTTGTTGATATCAGATTTTTTCGTTTCATGTTTTCGATTCCTTAATTTTTCTTGATTTTTATTTTTCACTTTCCGAATTTTTTAATTTTGATTTCCTCGATTTTATATCACAATTTTTCGTTCTTCCATTTTCTTTATTTTTCCAATGTTTCTTTCGATTTGATAATTTTTGGTTCATTCAATTTTTCTAATTTTTAATCTTTGGTTTTTCAATTCCTGGGTTTTCCGATTTTTAAATTTTTCATTTTGCAATTTTTTGATTTCTCAATTATCCAATATTTCAATAGTTGGATTTTACAATACTGAAAATTGAAAAATCGAAATAAAAAGGGAATTTTTCTCGATTTTACACTTTCGATTTTTAAGTTTGTCAATTTTTAGTCTTTCGGTTTATCAGTTTTTCTTTTTTTTT